TTGCCTTGGGAACTGCTGTGGTGATGTGAAGAACAGAGAAATTTTAAAGCCACAAAAAATGATATTATAACTAGCCAAAGTTGATGTAAGGTGACAGGGAGAGCCACCAGCCGATTGAAGTCATTTACACCTGTAGTGATCAGCCTCCTTTCTTTAAGGTTGTTCATTTTAGCACCTGTGCCCAGTCTTTGAAACCCTGTAGGAGGTCTCAGCATAAGGATGTATGAAACTGTGCACATTATGTCTATAATCCGTTCTATAAACACACAAGCTAACATATGTGTGAGTTTTTTTTTTTTTAATTGTTGGTCTAGGGCAACAAAATTTAAAAAGCACCACCATATTGCAAACATCCTTTTATGGTAATAAGCTTGAAATACAAGTCATTTAATTGTCTATGTAATATGTCCACTTCCAAGTGCTTCCTATTTAATACAACAGTAGCATCACTTTCCTTAATATAGTTCTCTCTTTACAAAGGGGGGAATTGAGTCACCAGACAGGTTGAACATTTTCTTAAGTGGAGTTTCCGATTAATATCTTATGTGAACATGCGCTCATATGTGGTGTACCCATCCGCAATAGAATTTGAAGTTATTTTTCACTATTAAGTGATAAAAACCATTCTTCTACTTTGAAAACTTTAATTTTGTCCTTAATTCTTTACTCTTGTAGAATAGCTGTAACAACACGTAGGTAGATGAAATTATATGCACTTCTGATTATTTTCTGAAAAATCTATTGAATATATTTCATGCCTGAGATATATTTTGATAAAATCGTGTGTACTAAGATTACTGAAGTTCATGCAAGAAATCAACAGGACACAAAAATGCCTTGGAGGGGAGGTAGACGTCCTCTTGCCAACTATACAGCTTTTTCTGACTAACCTGCAGATCTGAGCTTTTTCCTTCAATTTTTTTTTTCTATAGCTCTTTGCATTAACTGAGAAGTTATTTCCATCTCCACCTTTCTTTTTTTTTCACACAGCAATTATGTAGATTTCTAAGTCTGCAAAGATCCAGGGAACGTCTATGAACTCCTTTCTACTGCCTTCTGGGTATGTTGTCTTATCGCTTACAGAATGTTAGACTTAATTTATTTGTTTTGCTATATTTGCTTTTGTTTAGTTTTTCCTTGATTCAGGGAAAATAAAAGACTAGAAAGGAAAGATATTGGCTCTGACTCACAACTGCCAAATAGACAAGTGGGTCGTAACCACTATGACCACTCTTTTTTACTGGTGAACAAGTTCCCATATAACAGAGTTTGACACAGAGAGAGGTAAGATGGCTCAAACTATTTCCCTGCGTCTTTGGGGCCATCTGACCTGTATACACTCAGAAGATAGATTGTCCTTTGCAGTTAATGTGTTTCTTATTTTAGGTCATTTTCATGCTGACACTTGCATTTGGTTTATCTTTTGGCCTTACCAATGTAGTGAACTGTTCTCTGCTCCCTATTAACTCAAAGATAGTGTATCCTGATAAAAGTGTATGCATAGAAAAAAATAATAGTGGTTCTTCTAAATAACTAAGGGATTTATTTCAAGTAATATCTGGTGCTTACTTTTGCAGCACATATACTAAAATTGGAATGATACAGAGAAGATTAACATGACCTCTGTGCAAGTATGACAAGCAAATTCAAAAAAATAAAATAACATAATGTCTGGGGTGGGAGTGTGTTTGTTGCTACAGAGTGTAATGTATTTATGATTTTGACATATGAATATGGCACACCCCTGCAGGGTTTTGGGAAGCTATCTGATATGATGATGGAAAAGCAAAGCTCGGAAAGCCATGGATCGCCTCTGTCCACTCTTCAATGACCTTGCCAGACATAAGCCCAAGAGTCCGGATGCCCAATGCTATAAGTTTAAGTACTGAGTGATCTAAGCGATCATAAGAATAGTAAATATTTTAAATAATGAATTAATTAGGGGTAGGGTATAAGGCTGGGATTATCTTTATTTTTACATAAGCCTAAGAGTCTGGGTGACCAATGTTATAAGATTAAGTACTGAGTGATCTAAGCGATTAGAAGAATAATGAATTAATTAGGGATAGGGTATAAGGCTGGGATTACCTGACATAATAAAAATTGACTTTGGAGTATTGCACACATGCAAAGGTTTGGATAAGCTCAGGTAGCCGGTTCTACAGCATATGACATTTCTGGGGATGCAGGTTTCTGGGCGAGTTTGCACATAAAAGACAAAAATGGATCTCCACGTGGCCACAGTTGCTGCTGCCCTTTGCGGGGAGTTTGTCTGTGGAGGTTTATTTGAGAGGTACAGGTGGCTGTTCTCTGCAGCTTGGGCTTCATCAAGTATTCTGGCTGGGATCCAAGATAGAAAAATTAAAAATAGAAGGTGGCAAACTTTCCGCAGCTTGGCAAAGTCCCCAAATGTCACTTTCTCAGTCTTCTAACAAACTCAATTCCTCAGTAGGGAGTGGAATACACAGACAAGAGAGAAGGAATTGAATGCACCTGTCTCTGGAGCCTTCTTACCCGTATTTATTCTGTCCCGGACGCTTTATTCCTCGAGTTGGTAACGGCTCCAGGATCTGCCTTTGGCTGTGTGCCATACGCAGCTGATCTTAGGTAATGAAATTTTCATTTCAAATGTTGATCTTTTTATTCTAAAATTTCCATTTGGTTTTCTTTTACAACTTTTGTTCTTCTACTGAAATTACACATTTTTTTCCTATTATCTTTTTCTGTAAGTCCTCAAAACTTCAGTGACAATTCTGTTAAAGTTCTTACCTGATAATTTAAATTTTTGAAATTCTTGTTTTTATATTGTTTTGTATCACAGCTTCACAAATTACGATAGCCTGAGTGATTATAAAACACACGAGACGACATCATTTTGCCGACTTCCATGTCTGTAGGTCAGGATCTGACGTGGGTCTTGCTGCACTAAAACCAAGGTGTCTGCAGGGCTGGGTTTTATTTTAGGGATGTAGGCAAGAATTTGTATCCTTGGCTTTCTACCTGGAGAGGCTGCCATATTTCTTGCCTGACCTCCAAGCCAGAAATGCCAGGTTGAGTTCCCACAGTACATAACGTAAATGTGACTTTTGTCGCCATCTTCCAATTTTAAAGGCATGTTATGTTTACACAGGGCCCTTCGGGCGGTCTAGGAAAATCTCTCTATTTTTAGGTCAACTGACAAGGATTTTTAATTCCATTTGCAAACTTAATTCCTCATTGCCATGAAATCTAACATTTACAGGTTATGTGTGTGAGAGTGTGAGGTTATTTTTTTAAAGAGGAAGAACGTCATTGTTTTCTTTTCTCACCAATCCAGTAACATTTTTATTTGAGCTATTGTACTTTTCATTGGAAAATTTCCATTTTCTTACTGTATACTTTCTATTCTTTTTTGGGGGGTCTCATATAATTTGTAATATTATGTAAGTCATTTCCACTAAATCTTTAAAATATTTGCATTAGTTGTGATAAATTGTGATATAGGTATATGACAGGAGATATACCTAACCCACAGCATATTTAATCAGAGCCTTGATCTTCACGGTGCCAGAGGAGATTTTGAAGAACATCAACATGTACTCTTTAACCTTTGCTGATGGGTATTTATTTCTACTCACTTTACCCAGGATCCTCTAAGGCAATTGACTCACAAACTTGCCACTACCTCTCTAGAATAGTAACAGCATCTCTTGAATTTACTCTGAGTATTGGAATGATAATGTGATCTTTTCCAAATGCTTGAAAGCATGTTCTTTCTCTGACATTTTCCTAGACTTCACTTGTGTATTTTTCCATTTATATCACCTGCTGTGGTCCATCTCCTCAACAGAATTTGTCTCTGCCACTTAAGTTATATCCCTACGATATCTATTTTGTGGGATGATATTAGAGGCTTAAAGTAGGTAGAGGTCTCAGATCGAGATAACAAGAGAATAAATCCATTTTCTAGAATGTCTGAAACAGATTGCCACTCCTACATACTTTAGAATAAAAAAATGAACTTTTTTTCCCCCACTCCCCCCTCGCAGAGCAGAGAGAGGGAAGGAGTCAGGGGGTGGGGTCTTGGTGTGTGTGACACCTTTGGGTGGCAAAACACCATTGTAAGAGGGACTTTACCTAACAAATGCAATCAGTATAACCTGGTTTCTTGTACGCTCAATGAATTCCCAACAATAAAAAAAAGAAAAAAAAAAAGAATATAAAAATGATGCCTAGGGATATCCAAAACAGAAGTGGTGTGTGTGCACATGTGTGCATTTGTGTGTGCGGGGCGTGTGTGCGTGCATGTGTATGTTCCTTATGGCCTGGAGCAAATTCAAGAAATTGTACTTTTCTCCTACAAAAGATTATAAAAAACCTGAAGCATCTGAGTGATTATTTCTGTCAATCTAATGTTATTTATATTTTTATGTATATTCTATTCAAAAGGGTCAGCTAATAACATGATTGCCTATTGTTCAAATCTTGAAGATAAGACTGCATGCATGAGAGAAAGAGAATATTTTTCTTATATAAAAACTTAAACTTGGCTTGGTGCCTGTAGCTCAACAGCTAGGGCACTAGCCACATACACTGGGGCTGATGGGTTTGAACCCAGCCTGGGCCTGCCAAACAACGATGACAACTACAACCAAAAAATAGCAGGGCATTGTGGTGGACACCTGTAGTCCCAGCTACTTGGGAGGCTGAGGCAAAATCACTTAAGCCCAAGAGTTTGAAGATGCCGTGAGCTGTGATGCCACAGCACTCTTCCCAGGGCCACATGGTGAGTCTCTTGTCTCAAAAAATTTTTTTAAAATTATTTTTGGTGACTTTTGTGTAGATGAAAGTGTGTGCACATGCATGTTTGTGTGAGAGAGAGAGAGAGAAGAGGGAGTGTTTGTAGGTTACAAGCATTGTTTAACTCTCATAAACAACCACTGCTTGTGTGAATTCTGTATTATAAGGAATATCTATCTTGTCTGTAGCATTAATTTGTATTCATTTATTCATTCATTGTTATATTTATAACACTACCACAGGTTAGCATTTGTTAGGATAATGAGTAATTAAATACATATTCCAGAAGAAATTTGAGAAAATATTTTAAGTATTAACATGTGTCAACTAAACAGTAAGGTTAGAAAATAATCAACTTACCCCACATATTTATTTATAAGTTACCAAGATAGGCAATTTTTAATTTTATTGTATTTATTACATTAAAAACCCAGTTTGCAAACATCAACGTGGCATGCATGCTCTTCATCTTGTCAAAGCTTCTCTCCTTCTAGTGAAGATTAATACATTCACTCCCACTGGCTCTGTTGATGTGAAAGCTTTCTTTAAAAAGATCAACAAAATAACTTCACATTGGAATACCAAATTTCTTCTCTAGAGATCACTGGCATGGTTATTTTGCTTATTTTTCCATGAAATGTACGTTTCTAGGATTCATTTTTATCACCTCTTAAGGTAAACATCTATGCTGTGGGGCCTGTGGTTTTGGCCACAATGTGTAAATAAACTGTAGGTTTATCTCAGGTGACACAAAAATATGAAGTTGGTCATACAGACAAAGCAAAGTGATCTTCCATTTAGAAACTGAACATATAATTACCTTAGGAGCTATGTTAATCAATTTTGTTGCAGGAATAATATTATGTAAATAATGTGGCAAAATAGTAAAACACAGATTCTAAAACTATTTGGAGTGGTCTCTTATCAATCAATTCCTTTTTCTTTCTAGAATTTAACTCAAACAGCTGCTTTGGTGAATTCACATCAGTAAATTAGTTGTCAACCTAGCGCTATCACATCCCCAGCAGAACCGGCATATTTGACCACCTCCCACACTGAGCACCTCCTGAAGTTGACCTAATTTCATAGACTGTATTTTTCCTCTTATCAAAAGTAGAATATGCTTGTATGAGCGTCAACAACTCAGAAGAAAGGATAAGGCTCTAATTCAGGCGACTTTGTTGATGGCTTGCTAGACAATGGACATTTATTTTGACAGTTTCAATATTATGTGAGTCACAAACAAACAGAATTGAGGCAATAGAAAATTTTATAAATGAAAGGCACTGAAGCTTGAAGCCAATAGAGACTTAACTGGGGGAAGGGAGAAAATACCGTCACTAGGTGGGTCCTAGCCAGAGCACACAGACAAGGGATCAGTGAGCAGGCTGTTCTGCCTGAGGTTATGGCGCAACAAAAAGCCAGGTTCTAGACCTTTTCTCCTAGGGTATAACATAATAACTTAATGCAACTATTATTTTTGTTTTGATGTTGATTAACGTAATATTAAAAAGCTATTTAATTCAATATGCACTGTGTGTCAGGAACTTCACAAATATTTACTTAGACCTTTAGAACTTAAGTCAAAACAATTAGACGAATTTGTGCATAGCTGGGTGTTGTGGCAGATGCTGGGAGTCTCAGCTACTTGGAAGGCTGAGGCCAGGGGATCACTGGAGCCCGGGAGTTTGAGGTTGTTGTGAGTCTAGCCAGGGAAAGAGTGAGACTTTGTCTCAAAAAAAAAAATAAAATAAACAAATAAAAAAGAAACCCAGAAAGTCATTGGTTAAAAACAAACATTTTTTTTCTATAATACCTCATATGATCAGGAAAGTTTGGAGGGAACATACTCGTACTGAGAACTACAGGAAGTGATCATTGCCGTTTTGT